TATATTTGTATAATATTTTATCTCTGGTATTGAGCACTTTATCCCATAAATATATCCATTATTAAAATTTTTTTTTTATATACATATATATATATATATATATATATATATATATATATTATAAATATTATCTGGACTCTCCCGTTTCTTTTCAACTATTAGGATATGACATTTTATTGATTCAGTTATGAAAGATTAAATATTTTGATTCTTAACAAGCATTTAAGAAATTTCTATTGATTTATAAAAAGGCCACATATTTTAACAAGTTTTTTTTGTGAGATGAATCATGGTAATAAATTGATTCTTTTATTTTTTTTTCTAAATTCAAAAAAAAAAAAAATTCAGACAAGCAGATTTTCGAAAATTCTTATTAGTTTTAAAACAAGTTGATCTCCATTCTTCCTTTTCCAAACTTTTAAGCACTTACAGGGTGATATTTTTATTTTTGAAAGATTGAATTGTATATTTATATATATATATATATTTATCCATATATATATATATATATATAAATATATAAATATATCATAAATTCTTTATCAAATATTTCGTTTTGACTGAATTTTGTTTTTGTTTGTAACAAAATTTTTCAAAAGATGAATAAGATTTTGAGAATATGAAATATTCTTCAAAGAAACAGTTAAAAAAAAATTACAATGCTAATCTTTTAAATTTCAAATATAACATTTAAATTCATCACATGTCTTTCTGAATCTAATCAAAATATTTCTTCTTTTCACTCATCAGCCATCTTCTTTTTTTTATTAGTAATCATCATTTCCAAAAATTTCCTGTCCTTTGTCTTCTTAATAAATTTTGAAATTTTTTCTTATTTTTTTTAACTTAGCTTTTTTCATTTATTTTTCTTTTTCTTTTTCTTTTCTTACGCAGTGACCTTCAGAACGTTGGCGATCATGGCTCTCCATAATTTCCTCTTCTTTTCCTTCTTCTAATAAATTTTGTCTTTTTTCTTTTTCTTTTCAACCTTGTTTTTTTCTTTTCCATTTACTCATCTCTCCTTTTTTTTGAGCCTTATTCCTTTTTCTTTTCTTAAAAAACTTCTTCTTCTTCTTTTTTTTACTTCATAATGAATTTTTTTCAAAAAATTCTCTCTCCTTTTCTTTGCTTCTTTAATCCATTTACTCATTCTTTTTCTTCTTCTTCTTCTTCTTCTTCTTCTTTCTTTCTTCTTCTTCTTCTTCTTCTTCTTTTCTTCTTCTTCTTCTTCTTCTTCTTCTTCCCTTTTTCCCATTTATTCCTTTCCCCCTTCTTCTTCTTCCTTTTTTCTTTTTCTTCTTCTCATTTTCCTTCTTTTTCTTCTTCTTCTTCTTCTTCTTTCTTCTTCATCCGTCCTTCTTCTTTCCTTCTTCTTCTTCTTCTTCTTCTTCTTTCTTCTTCCTCCTCTTCTTCTTCTTCTTCTTTCTTCTTCTTCTTCTTCTTTCTTCCTCCTCCTCTTCTTCTTCTTCTTCTTCTTCTTCTTTTTTTTTTTTTTCTTCTTCTTCTTCTTTTTCTTCTTCTTTCTTCTTCTTCTTCTTCTTCTTCTTCTTCTTCTTCTTCTTCTTCCTCCTTTCTTCTTCTTCTTCTTCTTCTTTCTTCTTCTTCTTCTTCTTCTTCTTCTTCTTCCTCCTCCCTTTCTTCTTCTTCTTCTTCCTCCTCCTCTTCTTCTTCTTCTTCTTCTTCTCCTTTCTTCTTCTTTCTTCTTCTTCTCTTCTTCTTCTTTCTTTTCCTCCTCCTTTTCTTTCTTTCTTCTTCTTCTTCTTCTTCTTCTCTTCTTCCTCTTCCTCCTCCTTCTTCTTCTTCTTCTCTTCTTCTTCCTTCTTCTTTTTCTTCTTCTTCTTTTCTCTTCTTTTTCCTTCCTCTTCTTCTTCTTCTTCTTCTTCTTCTTCTTCTTCTTCTTCTTTTTTCTTCCTTTATTTCTCCTAGTTGATCATGGCTCTTCGAATTTTCCTCGACTGCAAGAATGTAAATATCTTGTTTAGAAACTTAAATGTTGAATTTTCATCTTCCACAATTTCTATTTTATTATTTTCTTTACTCGCACTTTTCGTCTCTGCAACTCTCTTCTGCTTTTGTTTTATTTGTTTGTATTTACGTCTCTGCTAAATATGATCTTCAAAATTTAAATGCAATCGCCATCTTCTCTCTTCCTGAACCCTGTTCTTTTATTATCCTTTCTCTTCACTAAATCTTCTCGTTCCCTTTTACTCCCATTAACTCCTTGCGTCTTAGTGGCATTATCGCCATCTTCTTCCTGAATTCTGTTCTTTTATTGCCCTTTCTCTTCCCTAAAGTCTTCTCATTCTCTTTCACTCCCATTAACCTCTTGCGTCTTAGTGCTATTATCGCCATCTTCTGTGTTCCTGAAACCTGTTCTTTTATTGTCTTTTCTATTCAGTAAATCTTCTCATTCTCTTTCTTTCACCGTAACTATTTACGTCTTAGTGGCATTATCGCCATCTATCTTCCTGATGCTTATCCTTTTATTGTCCTTTCTCCTCACTAGTCTTCTCATTCTCTTTCACAACCTTTGCGTCTTAGTGACTTTATCGCCTTTCTTGGGGGTGTAACAATTCAATAGCAATGATTGAATATGTATTTTTAAGGCTTTGGTTTAGTGTGGCATAAGGATAAAACTTTTAAGCAATCAGATTCGATCTAACTTAATGCGGTCTCAATATTCTTCGTTTACGATCCAATGTTCATAAAGATCTATTTAGTCTGACAAAAGGTAACAATTTTTGAGTTCCGAGCAAGTATGGAATTCAATATAGTTCTAATGGTTTCCAAGATAATCCAGCTAAAGACGAACCCACAGCAAAGCCGCCCTCTTCATAGCATCTTTTACGATTTAATCAGCCGATTGCGCGGATTTACAAATTCTCTTTTCAAAAACCGCTCGCATTTTATATCCGCTCTGCAAATATTGGTATTCTGTCATTTGATACTAGAATCACGCTTTTCATGTCGGACTGTGATTATATTTACTGCGCTCGAAATACATACGGTTATATATTCATATAAAACTGCTGGGATTTGTCGCTTATCTGATGAAGCTTTCCAATCTTTAACTTATAATCAATATTATAAACGTTCTAGTCTCCCGGGGATTTACAAATAACTCTTTCCCTATAGAATTCCCAGGATCTTCAAACGCTTTATTGGTATTTAGTCAGTTTACGTTAATCTTCATCTGAATTTCTAGAATGAGGAGTTATCATTATTTACACTATTTCGATCCTTGTGACTTTCGGCGTTCTTCAGATGTATATCGATCTACTAGGAATTCTGAACTTTTTGTATTTTTTGCTTTGTTATTTTTTTTAATCGAGTTGACTACATTCAAGGCAATAAAGTCACTGAGACACAATGGATTTGATTTGGTTTGGTTTGGTTTAGTTTGGCTTGGTTTGGATTACATATCAACCTCAATGGGTTATGTAATGCCAACAAGATTTTTATTGCTGGTAATATTTTGTTTCAAAATATATTGCTGGTAACATTTTTTTCAAAAACTGTATTGCTGGTAATAATGTATTGGTGATAATTTTGGTCTATATTTCTGAGATGAAGTATTATGTACACTATTTACATTATTCTGATTATTCTACTCATCTTTGTTGCCATATTTCTTACAACGTTTCGGCCTTTCAGTATCTGTCTATATTTCTGAAATGAGGCACTATGTAAACTATTTACATTATTCGAACTATTGTCCTCATCTTTGTTGCTATATTTATTACAAAGTTTCGGCCCTTCAGTATCTATCTATATTTCTGAGATGAGGTATTATGTAGACTATTTACATTATTCGGACTATTGTCCTCATCTTTATCGTCATATTTATTACAACGTTTCGGCCCTTCACTATTTGTCTATATTTCTGAGATGAGGTATTATGTACACTATTTACATTATTCGGACTCTTATCCTCGTCTTTGTTGCCATATTTATTACAACGTTTCGGCCATTGTACGCTCCAGCCTTCTTCAGCTGGTTGGAATGTCGAAATAAACCCTTTTTTTCGCTCACTGGGGTAGACCGTTCTAGTTCCACGTGCCATGTTTAATGGATGTCATTTATCAGTTATCTCCTGTTAATTCACATCTCCAAGTTCTCCACTGCCTTAACTGGGTATTGTCCTTGAGGACGCATGGCACAGTGGAAAAAAAAAATATTAATGGTTAGATCAAGTGACAAGACCCAGAGTGTGAGTTCAATACCCGGTTAAGGCTGTGGAGAACTTGGAGATGTGAATTAACAGGAGATAACTGATAAATGACAAGAAATGATAAATGTAAGTTATCCAGATCGATCTGAGGAAGGCCGAACAACAACAACAACAACAGAAATGAGGAAAATAATCCTAATATAGTGCCAATAAGTTTACGTTGGTTTAACTCAAAGTCAATTACAGAGTACAAATAGGATGACTTAATAAACGGGGGTGTCGGAATTCAATATTGGCCTTAATAAAAGAGGTACCATGAAATGATGTGCCATGAAATTGTTTTACGCTCAAAAAGTGTGTAGTTATACAGCGGGGAGGTTTTAATAACCTGAGAAGGTCGGAACCATTATTTTTTTTTTTAAATAAACGCACCCCCGCCTATTACGTCAATTAGGCATTTAGTATGTTGATAAAATATACTAATGCTCCCACTATACAAGGCCCAAGAACCACTCAATATAGAGAGTCGGTGAATCAAAAAATGTAAGGAGAGGGTATGAAGAGAAAGTCATGAGGCCATGGAAGATAGATATCAATTGAAAATAAAGATACACTGTTTGGAAAATATCCAAGCCGAAGTCTGTTCCATAAAGTAGCGATGCCTGGGAAGAAGCAATCTGCGTGAAACCTTTTATTTACTATTGGAATACGGAGGAAATGAGGATGATTCGACCCTGTGGACGTGACAAGGTATGTCTTAGATGTCAATGGTAAAGGAGTGCGAATTAATGAATGGTCCTAGTCTGAACATTTTTTTAAAATCTATTTTATGTTGGTTCATATCTATCTATCTATCTATCTATCTATCTATCTATCTATCTGTGGGGTTGTCTGTCTTTATATCTATCTATTTAATTATCTCAGTCCATTCATTATACATTTAACTCAGTTTGGCCATTATCTATATCGGTCAGTACATTATCTATGTATGTATATATGTATATATTGTATCATCCTTCAGTATATATATATATATATATATATATATATATATATATATATATTTTTTATAAATATTTTACATGTGGGCAAGTTTTTTTCGAAATTTTTTGGGGTACCAAAATGAGATCAAACTACTTATCAGTTGTAATTGATAATGTCTCGCAAGAACAATTAAAACTGAATAGTTTCAGTCCGATCCTCACTGTCAATGATCTTGGGGAGATATCATTTTAATCTGCTCTACTTTTAAAAAAAACACTAAAATATTTATATATATATATATATATATATATATATATATATATATATATCGATATTTGCTCAATATTATCTATCACGGTTATTTAGTATCCATCTATCTATTCTCTTTCTCTATCTCGACCTACCTATCTCAGTCTATTCATTATCTATCTATCTATCGATCTCAGTTTTTTCATTATCTATCTATCTATCTATCTATCTATCTCTGTAAGTACATTATTTATCTATGTATATATGTATCGGTCAGTTTAGTATCTATCTGTCTACCGCTCTCTTCCTCTAGCTATCAATCTCACTCCATTCATTATCTATCTATTTATATATCTATATATCTATCTCCGTCTATTCATTATATATTTACCCATGTCAGTCAAAACAAATTTAATATCTGTATGTCGATATCGGTAAATACATTATCTATCTATCTATCTATCTATCTATCTATCTATCTCAGTCTTTTCATTATCTATCTATCTATCTATCTATCTATCTATCTATCTATCGCAGTCTTTTCATTATCTATCTATCTATCTATCTATCGCAGTCTTTTCATTATCTATCTATCTATCTATCTATGTATCTATCTATCTATCTATCGCAGTCTTTTCATTATCTATCTATCTATCTATCTATCTATCTATCGCAGTCTTTTCATTATCTATCTATCTATCTATCTATCTATCTATCGCAGTCTTTTCATTATCTATCTATCTATCTATCTATCTCAGTAAGTACATTATCTATCTATGTATCTATGTATCGATCAGTTCAGTATCTATCTATCTACCGCTCTCTTCCTCTAGCTATCAATCTCACTCCAGTCATTATCTATCTATCTATCTATCTATCTAAGTCAGTTCATTATCCATCTATATACCCCTCTATTTCTCTCTCTCCATATATAATTCTATTAATTATCTATCTATTTATCTCAGTTTGTTCATTATATATCTATTTTTTTTCACTCTTTTGACATCTATCTCGCTCCTCTTCCTATCTCTCTATATTTATCTCTCTCGCCTCGGTGTGCAGTCATGGTTATCTTGTCTTGTCCTATACAACATTAACCCTTTAATGTTCCACGTAAACTCATGTATTAAATCTAAACATTCAAACTAAAAATCCTACTTATAGGTTTCTACATCAAACCCCGAAGTTTTCCCCTTTCAAAGAATGAACTGAATACAATCCACGCGGATGGATACTTTTCATTCCCATCGTTTCTAGCAGAAACTTTCTCATATAAATTACTTCTTTTTACTAAATGTGTATATGCATTAGACATTTTCACAGCCCCCAAAAAAAGAAAAAAGAGAAAAAAACGAAGTGGAGAAGCATACAAAGAAAGAAAGAATGAAAGAAAGAATGAAAGAAAGAAAGAAATTGTTATGGTCCGGTTCCTTGTACCACGGTGATAGTCCAAGGTAGAACCAATAAAGAAGAACTCGAATACGGATATGGAATAACACAGATATATTACAAACAGGAATATATACAGAGAAGTAGAAAGTGTTGGTACGAACAATCCCGTTCAGTAGGAATTGGCTGAACGCGACTCTGTTTCGGACTGCCTCTGACTCGACTGACTGACTGACTCGCTCGCTCGCTCTGACTCGACTGACAGACTCCTGACTGACTTCACTCCAGACTTCAGACTGATCTCTAGACTTCAGACGAAACCCTCTGCTTCCTCTTGAGGCGCAGTATTTATTACGTATGGAATAGTCCATTATGTTATTATGGGTAAGGTCCGATAACAGAAATAAATAAAGAAAAAGAAAGATGAAACAAAACAAAAAGAAATAATGGAGAAAAACGATAGAAAAAAGTATTAAACAGAGAAAGAAAACAAAACACGAAATCGGATAGAAAGAAAGAAAGAAAGAACAGGTAATGGTAATAGAAAAGAAAGAAAGAAAGAAAGAAAGAAAGAACAGGTAATGGTGAAAGAAAGAAAGAAAGAAAGAAAGAAAGAAAGAAAGAAAGAAAGAAAGAACAGATAATGGTAATAGAAAAGAAAGAAAGAAAAATCAAACAATCAAACAAACAAACAAAAGGTAATGGTAATAGAAAGAAAGAAAGAAAGAAAGAAAGAAAGAAAGAAAGAAAGAAAGAAACAACAGGTAATGGTAATAGAAAAGAAAGAAAGAAAAATTAAACAATCAAACAAACAAACAACAGGTAATGGTAATAGAAAGAAAGAAAGAAAGAAACAACAGGTAATGGTAATAGAAAAAAAAGAAAGAAAAATTAAACAATCAAACAAACAAACAACAGGTAATGGTAATAGAAAGAAAGAAAGAAAGAAACAAACAAACAAACAAACAACAGGTAATGGTAATAGAAAAGAAAGAAAGAAAAATTAAACAATCAAACAAACAAACAACAGGTAATGGTAATAGAAAGAAAGAAAGAAAGAAAGAAACAACAGGTAATGGTAATAGAAAAGAAAGAAAGAAAAATCAAACAATCAAACAATCAAACAACAGGTAATGGTAATAGAAAGAAAGAAAGAAAGAAAGAAAGAAAGAAAGAAACAGCAGGTAATGGTAATAGAAAAGAAAGAAAGAAAGAAAGAAAGAAAGAAAGAAAGAACAGGTAATGTCATTAAAAAAAGAAAGAAAGACCTGCTGAAGGAAATTAATAGGAAAATAAAGGAAATCACGAATAAAAAGAAAAGAAAGAAAAGAACGACATTGAAAAAGAAAGATGATGAATTGAAAAAGGACAAAATGAACAAATAAATAAAAGAATGAAAAAGATCGTGGTGGGGAGGACCAAAATATTGTAAAGACGAAAGAGAAAAACAAGAAAGAAATAAAGAAAGATGAAAGAATAAGGAAAAGAAAATGAAAGAAAAAAAGAACGAAGCCTTACGAATGTGGCGAGAATATATTCCTTCGTTTTCTTTTTCCATTTAATAACGAATTCTTTCTTTCAATTTCTTTCAAATTTTTCATTACTATCTTTTTCAGAGCATCGTTTATAGCCTGATATAAATCTGTCCATTTTTATATTTGATCTCACGTCATTATGAGTAAAACAGATCGATAACTATGGACATAATGAGATTGATGCAGACCCCAATGTTAGACAGGAATATATAGGGAAATTTACAAAATACATATATATATATATATATATATATATATATATATATATATATATATATATTCACACACAAAAAGACACACTCTCTCTCCCATATATATATATATATATATATATATATATATATATATATATATATATATATATGTGTGTGTGTGTGTGTGTGTGTGTTTTTGTGTTTGTGTGTGTTAAAATGTGTGCGTGTGTCTGTCTGTGTGTGTGTGTGTGTGTGTGTGTGTGTGTGAAGTAACAAAATTTTCTCGGAAATACCGGAAATTCTGATAAAAAGACTAAGAAATAGATTTTGAAGGTTTCGATTTATTTTGGTCGGGTCAAATATATATAATAAAGAGTTAAGGAGACATGTAGACATAGATAGATAGATAGATAGATAGATAGATAGATAGATAGATAGATAGATAGATATGAAAAAGAAGGAGATAGATAGATAGATAGATAGATAGATAGATAGATAGATAGATATGAAAAATAAGGTTTGATAGATAGATAGATAGATAGATAGATAGATAGATAGATAGATAGAATATGAAAAAAGAGGAAAAAGATAGATAGATAGATAGATAGATAGATAGATAGATAGATATATGAATAGATATGAAAAATAGGGAAACAGATAGATAGATAGATAGATAGATGGATAGATAGATATGAAAAAGAAGGAGATATAGATAGATAGATAGATAGATAGATAGATAGATAGAAGATAGATAGATAGATATGAAAAGAAAGATAGATAGATAGATAGATAGATAGATAGATAGGAACACACTGAGAAGAAAGATGACAAAACTGAAATAGATAGATAGATAGATAGATAGATAGATAGATAGATAGATAGATGAAAAAACTGAAATAGATAGATAGGAATGAAAAAGAAGGAGATAGATAGATAGATAGATAGATAGATAGATAGATAGATAGATAGATAGATATGAAAAAAAGGAAACATATGCTGTCTGCCTTTTTAGAAACGACAAAATATGCTGTCTGCCTTTTATCTACTTCTTTTATAGATAGATAGATAGATAGATAGATAGATGAAAAACTGAAATAGATAGATAGATAGGTATGAAAAAGAAGGAAATAGATAGATAAATAGATAGATAGCTAGATAGATAGATAGATATATTGTCGTGTAACAAAGATGGCGCTCTAGACTAGGCGTCCATTTTAAATAAATCATTCCAGTCATTTAATATTTTCCGATTCGATAACAAATTAACTAATAATTCATTAATTAAAATTCAATTTTCTTGCAGTTGTCCAGTTGGCCACCATTTTAGAATTGACAAAATATGCTGTCTGCCTTTTATCTACTTCTTTTAATTAATCTTATCTATTAATTCTAAACCGTCTTTATTTATTATCTGAAAGCAGTGAATTTCACCCCGAAGCTAAATCTGAAAATGGCTTTGGCTATTAAACCGGGTATATTTTGAACTTTTCTCTCCGCGTCCATTTATCTAAAGATCTCTTCGTGCTCTTGTCCATTTATGCTCTGAGTCGATTCCACCAATCAATGGTTAAGTAAGACGACTGGACGAAAGAGATAAGAATCGAACTGAATTTGGCGTCGTGTCCATAATTAATGAAAGCTTTTGGCCAACGGTTGCGGTGGTGTGCCTGACTGACTCGGGATTCCTTTGTTTGGTTTCCCTATCAAACGACAATCAGACATTGAGAGTGTCTGTAGACATCCGTTGCTGATAGACGCCGGCCACTTGCAACAATTTTGGCCAAGAGAAATCTATAAATAGATTGAAGTTACGAACTTCTTCTTGGAAAAATTCCTTCAACTTATGTCGGGGAGGTGGGGTCTCTTTTTTTCTTTCTCCCATGACTCCTTTAATTTTTCTTTTTCTTCTTTAGTCTCTGTCCATTCTTTTCTAGATTCATTGATGGAAATGTCTATTATCACGGAATCGGGCTTTCAGTTTTTACTGGGCCGCCCATACAACATTTGACATTAAATAACCCCTAAAATTTTATCAGGAAATAAACTAAACTAAACTAAAATCATTGCCCAATGCATTTTCGTAAATAAAACTTTGGCAATATATTTCAGAATAAAAATCATTGGCCAATGCATTTTCATTATAAAAATAATTAACCAATGCATTTTCATTGTAAAAATCATTGGCCAATGCATTTTCATAATAAAAATCATTGGCCAATGCATTTTCATAATAAAAATCATTGGCCAATGCATTTTCATAATAAAAATCATTGGCCAATGCATTTTCATAGTAAAAATCATTGGCCAATGCATTTTCATTATAAAAATAATTAACCAATGCATATTCATAGTAAAAATCATTGGCCAATGAATTTTCATAATAAAAATCATTGGCCAATGAATTTTCATAATAAAAATCATTGGCCTATGCATTTTCATAATAAAAATCATTGGCCTATGCATTTTCATAGTAAAAATCATTGGCCAATGCGTTTTCATAATAAAAATCATTGGCCAATGCATTTTCATAAAAAATCATTAATGTGCATTTTCATAATAAAAAATCATTGGCCAATGCATTTTTCATAGTAAAAATTATTGGCCAATGCATTTTCATTGTAAAAACATTGGCCAATGCATATTCATAGTAAAAATCATTGGCCTATGCATTTTCATAGTAAAAATCATTGGCCTATGCATTTTCATGGTAAAAATCATTGGCCTATGCATTTTCATGGTAAAAATCATTGGCCAATGCCTTTTTATAATAAAAATCATTGGCCAATTCATTTTAATTGTAAAAATCATTGGCCAATGCATTTTCATAGTAAAAATCATTGGCCAATGCATTTTCATAATAAAAATCATTGGCCAATGCATTTTCATAGTAAAAATCATTGGCAATGCATTGTCATACTAAAAATCATTGGCTAATGCATTTTTCATAATAAAAATCATTGGCCAATGCATTTTCATAATAAAAATCATTGGCCAATGCATTTTCATAGTAAAAATCATTGGCCAATGCATTTTCATAGTAAAAATCATTGGCCAATGCATTTTCATAATAAAAATCATTGGCCAATGCATTTTCATAGTAAAAATCATTGGCAATGCATTTTCATGTAAAATCATTGGCCAATGCATTTTCATAGTAAAAATCATTGGCCAATGCATTTCATAGTAAAAAATCATTGGCCAATGCATTTTTTAGTAAAATCATTGGCCAATGCATTTTCATAATAAAAATCATTGGCCAATGCATTTTCATTGTAAAAATAATTTCCAATGCATTTTCAAAATAAAAATTATTGGCCAATGTATTTTCATAGTAAAAATCCTTTCCAATGCCTTTTTATAATAAAAATCATTGGCCAATGCATTTTCATTGTAAAAATTATTGGCCAACGTATTTTAATCATAAAAATTATTGTCAATGCATTTTCATAGTAAATTCATTTCAAGGCATTTCAATGTGTAACAATGGTTCAACTAGTCATGATGACCAACTCGCTATTGATAAGCGAGATCAATTCTCACTCCATTCAAATTTCATTCTTAAATAACTCATCAAGACCTATATATCAAAATATTTGTGCATTTTTGTTACTTTACTTCACATTTTAATTTTTTTTTTTTTACGACATTTCTTCTGTTTTCCTTCCATTCTTTTCTCCCTGTGATATTTCTGCTCGTAACCCAACTTATTCTTGATATTCTTTTTCTCTTTTTATTATCGTCTTCGCTCTTTTTTTCTTTCTACAAATTTTGACTCGATGTCACTTCTCCGCCATTATTTTCTGTCACTCACCTTTCTCCGTTTTCGCATGTTTTCCGTAGAGGCGTCACCCATTTTAACATACAGTTTTCCCCTTCCAAATACTGAATTACATCCGTCAAATTCCATCTTTTTTTTTCTTTAATTAAAAAATGCTGTGTGCACAGAATATAGATGGAACGGGAATGCAATCTAAGGGAGGTAATTCAATATTTTGGGCGCAAAATAGATTTGGGATTCCGAATTGAAAAAATTGCCGTTTTTCTCTTCTCTTTTTTTCATTTCTCATTTTTTTTTTTTTTGGCTACGCTTTCAGAAAGACGATTTTAATTCTGCCATTTGAGTTTCTCAAAGAGATTTCCAGTTAATTTGCCAAATTTTAAAATCTTGATTTTTGTTCAGTTTTATTATTTTTCCAATTTCCGATTTTTTATTTTTTTTTATTTTTAAGAAATTCGTAATACTGTCCATGTTTTGCAATAAATAACGCCCAGGGCGTGTGCATGCATGTTTGCATTGGAGTGAGTGTGGGTGGGTGTGATTGCGAGACATATTTTCTCTCTTTCTCTCTCTTCTCTCTTTCTCTATTTAACTTCTTTAATATTTCGTTTACTTTTTCGTGTATTGCTTTATTTATAAAACTAGAAACTTGTATTTAATTATTTGTAACAAAAAAAACATAAATATAGAGAAGCACTGATACATAGATACAAAGAGAGAGAGAGAGAGAGAGTGAGTGAGAAAGATGGTCAGTTAAAGATAGATATATATGAACAGAATGAGATAGATATACACAGGCCGACATAGATAGATAGATAGATAGATAGATAGATAGATAGATAGATAGATAGATAGATAGATAGATAGATAGATATGGACATAATGAGAGAGATATGAAAACAGATAGAGAGATATGATAGAGAGAGAGAGAGAGGGGGGTCAGCAGAAGATAGATATATATGAACAGAATGAGATAGATATAAACAGGCTGAAATAGATAGATAGATGTGAAAAGACGGGATAGATAGATAGATAGATAGATAGATAGATAGATAGATAGATAGATAGATAGATATGGACATAATGAATTTATGAAAAAAGATATGAGAGATAAGATAGAGAGATTATTGGGGGTCATTTCAGAAGATATTGTCATATGAACAGAATGAGATAGATATAAACAGGCTGAAATAGATAGATAGATGTGAAAAGACGGGATAGATAGATAGATAGATAGATAGATAGATAGATAGATATGAACAGACGAGATAGATAGATAGATATGAACAGACGAGATAGATAGATAGATATGAACAGACGAGATAGATAGATAGTTAGATAGATAGATAGATAGATAGATAGTTAGATAGATAGTCAGCTGAAGATAGAAAGATATGATAGATAGATAGATATGAACATAATGAGATGGATATAAAAAGACTTGAGATAGATAGATAGATAGATAGTTAGATAGATAGTCAGCTGAAGATAGAAAGATATGATAGATAGATAGATATGAACATAATGAGATGGATATAAAAAGACTTGAGATAGATAGATAGATAGATAGATAGATAGATAGATAGATAGATAGATAGATAGATAGATAGATATGAACATAATGAAATAGATATGAAAAGATGAGATAGATAGATAGATAGATAGATAGATATGAACACAAAGAGATAGATATAAACAGGCTGAGATAGATAGATAGATAGATAGATAGATAGATAGAGAGAGAGAGCGATGGTCAGCTGAAGATATATATGAACACAATGAGATAGATATGAAAAGACTTGAGACAGAAAGATAGAATAAGATAGATATATACGAACAGAAATTGATCGATAGATAGATAGATAGATAGATAGATAGATAGATAGATAGATAGATAGATAGATAGATAGATGGTTTTACTTGCCATTAATTAATCCTCTCGACATTCTGTACCATGCCTTTCTACTTAATTACGCAACAATACCTTGTAATTCACGACCAATAGTATTTGTTTTCGGGTCAGATAGCAAGGGCGAATAACTCTTACATGCACGGCTTCTAATTATTCAAAGCGTTGAGCCGTCTGAATGTGCGCTCTGAAGTGAATATGCTCCGATTGCTTCAATCGGTGAGCGAACGGTCATTCGCATCTCACACCTAAATGTCTCTTTTATCATCATTGAAATCTGCCGGTACTTCTGTGTTTACCGCTTGGTGGGCCTGGACAGGACAGGTAGTTGTGTGGAGGATTTCTTAGGGATTTTCTCGGTTGAAATGTTTCAAAGAGTTCTGAGACGAAACCGATTCTAACATGATCCCGTTAGACTTTTGAACAGTAGTTCTCCGTTTAGTATTGCATTTCCGGTTCCATCTAAGGCAGGTCTTCTCAATCTAGGCGATATCGGCCCCCGGCGGACGAGTTGAATTGTTGGGTTGGCGATCAACAACTGAACAGGAAATGGTAGACGATTGAAATGTTTGCATGGGCGATATAGGATTTTGTGTTTTAAAAATACATTTCAACCTATGCTATCCGAAAGAATATTCAAAGGAAATATGCGAAGAACATATATAAACATTATTTATATTATACGGACTATTGTCCTCATCTTTATCGCCATGTTTATTAAAATGTTTCGGCCTTCTAGTATCTGTCTATATTTCTGAGATGAAGTATTATGTACACTATTTACATTATTCGGATGATTGTCCTCATCTTTGTCGACATATTTATTACAACGTTTCGGCCTTTCAGTACATGTCTATATTTCTGAGATGAGGTATTATGTACACTATTTACATTATTCGGACTATTGTCCTCATCTTTGTCGCCATATTTATTACAACTTTTCCTCGTTAGTTTATTTTGTTTTACTGTATATCAACCTCAATGGGTTATTTAATACCGACAACATTTTTAGGATAGGATAATAGAATATGTATTATGGTTTAGATTGGAATAGATATAACCTCAATGGGTTATTTAATGCCGACAACATTTTTAGGATTTTCATTATTAGAATATTATTCTTTGGTTTATTGGTTTTTTTTTTGCATTTATCAATACCTCAATGGGTTATTTAATGCCGACAACATTTTTAGGATAGATTCGTATGAATAGAATATATTCTTTGGTTTTAATTGGTTTGGTTTATTTTGTTTTAACGGGTTGTATCAACCTCAATGGGTTATTTAATACTGACAACATTTTTTCGATAGATTCGTATGAATAGAATATGTATTCTTTGGTTTAGATTGTTTTGGTTTATTTTGTTTTACGGCATATCAACCTCAATGGTTTAATGGTTTTTTAGAATATGTATTCTTTGGTTTAGATTGGTTTGGTTTATTTTGTTTTATACTGAATATCAACCTCAATAAAAAAATTTAATGCCGACAACATTTTAAAAATAGTTTTAATAGAATATATATTCTTTGGTTTAGATTGGTTTGGTTTGTTGTTTTACGGCATATAACCTCATTTGGTTTTTTCCAGGATTGATTTAGAATATGTATTCTTTGGTTTAGATTGGTTTGGTTTATTTTGTTTTACGGCATATCAACCTCAATGGGTTGTTTTAAAACCGACAACATTTTTAGGATAGTTTCGTATGAATAGAATATGTATTCTTTGGTTTAGATTGGTTTGGTTTATTTTGTTTTACGGTATATCAACCTCAATGGGTTATTTAATGCCGACAACATTTTTAGGATAGATTCGTATGAATAGAATATATATTCTTTGGTTTAGATTGGTTTGGTTTATTTTGTTTTACGGCATATCAACCTCATGGGTCATTTAATACCGACAACATTTTTAGGATAGTTTCGTATGAATAGAATATGTATTCTTTGGTTTAGATTGGTTTGGTTTATTTTGTTTTACGGCATATCAACCTAAATGGGTTATTTAATGCAGAAATGTTTTTTATTGCTGGTAATATTTTGTTTTGTCAAAAATCTATTTCTGGTAATATTTTTTCTTCAAAAACTTGTTATTGGTAATATTTTTTTCCTTCTAGAAGTTATTGCTGGTAATAATTTCTGCTATTAAAACCTATTTTGACACTTTCATAGTGTTTTTACCTCAGTTTCGGGTTTAACTATTTGCCTATAGCTGGGACCCTAACAGGTGCTACCACCTCGGGTGAGTGGTCCTGGGAACAACAGCATTTAAGACATGTTTCCACGCTCCTCAAAATCGCCTGATCAGAGGCCTTGCTGCTAGACGTAGTTTATCGTCTTACCGAGGACTAACAGACTCCAGGCCGTGATCTGTAAACCTTGCTATGTTATCAGTTTTTTTTCTTCCTACATTTATATATGTTAGAAATTAAAGAACGAAAAATTTTTGCGCATTCTGAGGTCTTTTTTTTTTTTTCGTCCAAATCCGAGAATTTGTATTGCTCAAGATGAATCTCGGAAAACGCAATATAAAATTCGTTTTTTTTGTTTTCTCCGTAACGTTGAATGTGTTAAAATTATTCAACTTTTTAACAAGACAAAAAATCACGTTGATGTTAAAAATTGCCGAAAAACATTATTGATTTTTTAAAAAAATGAAATGATCTGTTATGACATGTTTCTAATTTGCATTTAGATACATTGTATTTATTTTCAATTTTTCAAATTGAATTGTTCAACTATCTATTTCATATGAATTATATATATGAAAATTGAGATATAGTAGAGTGGGTGGGGGTGTATTCTGGATTCGGGAGAAGACGAGACCCTTGCACTGGTTATGCAAGTCCATACTGGATCATGAAAGGGATCATTCGAATATGGCAGATACAGTCGTGATCAGCATCAGATTAATGGATTTACGTGTCCGTTCTTTTGATAATATTAGTAATACTACTACTACTAATGCTACTACTACTACAAGTAATAATAATAATAATAATAATAATAATAATAATAGACACCGCAAACAAAAAAATACATGTTCTCGTACGTTTACCGAAGTTAAGCAACGTAGGTCTTGTCCAGTACGTAAATGGGCGACCCGTAAGCAAATGAGCATACAACAGGAATCAATAATAATAATAATAATAATAATAATAATAATAATAAGGTATCCGCCCAGTCAACAATCAAAGCTAACCGCCCAGAAATTATTATTAGAGACCGCAAACAAAAAAACTGCGTCCTTATCGATATGGCATTCCCTGTAGACTGTAATGTATCTTTGAAGATCTTCAAAAAGCTGTCAAATTACAAGGACCTTGAAATCAAAATCTCACAAATGTGGCCCATGGGAACATCAACAATCACTGTTGTAGTTGGATTCCTCGGATTGGTTTGAAAAGATTCCAGTAGACTAATTGAAGGGATTCCTGGAAGCCCATGCCTTAAAGAAATACAAAAAAAATTGTTCTTACAAGTATAGCCCACAATTTAGGAAGGGCTTTATCTCTGTAAAATATGCTTTGTTTTGTTTTTTGTCTTTTTTAATTGATCAATTGAAAAATTTCATGGTGCTATTTCTGACCTTATATTTTTTTGTCGGACCCGGAAAGAAATATGTACAGACCAGAAATCAAAGGAAATATAATAATAATAATAATAATAATAATAATAATAATAATAATAATAATCAAAAAACAACATGAAATTCTTTCATTTGCCAAAAACAAGTATCACCATCTCTGGTAGGTTGACTTGTTACTTGTCGAAATTTGGTGCAATCTGTACAAATATTTGTCACCACATCAAAAGCATCCAGATTAATTATTAAAATTAAAACATATATTAGTAGATAATATGAATATAAAATAAAGGAGTTACTGCAAAGAAAAATTACAAATTGTGGAAAGCATTCTAATACAAGAGAAACAACACACGCTAAACAAAATATCTTTCTTTGTCGGAAACGGTATATTAAAGTGTGCATAAAGTAAACATGGCTTATTAATTGATAGGAGTTATCTCCCTTTACATGTATAGCCCAATAAGAAGGATCAACTCTCTTGGACTGACAAATCGTGACAGCTATTAGGGAGATGTGATTAAATATACTTTAATTATTAAAAAAATGTATTCAGTATTTTTATTGTTTAGGTAAGAAGCATTATAACATAGTACAAATAGTTATATTGTGGAAAAAGGAATTTTCCAAAATAAACGCATTTTTTTTACATATTTATGGTTATTTTTTTTTAATTTTATTAAAAACAACATATTGTACATGCAGTTATGGATAATATTATACATTAATTACTATTTGTTAAAATCTTGGATTAATGCAATAATATAAAAATAAATTTCATCTCCCTAATAGATGTTGGTATCTGTAAACAGTATTAATTACATTTCCGGGCCTGAATGTTTGAAAAATTTCAATTGCTCTTAAATAACGCATATTTTCTGTTTATGCATTATTTTTATAGATACAATTTATTTAAGTAAACGCTATGTTTTAAATTAACAGATCGCGATTAAGGCAATGTGATTGAATATACTTTACAATATTAATATTGTTTAGGTAATAAGCTTTATAACATATCACAAATAGTTATATTGTGGAAAAAGGAATTTTCGACAACATACGCATTTTTTATGCATATATGGTTATTTTTTTATAATAATGTATTTATGATAACTTTTATCAAAAACGACATTCTTGTACATGTATTTATGGATAATATTATACATTAATTACTAATTTTATTAATTAATAACTATTTGTGATCAGTTGTTGACATTAATAGCTATCTGCTGATGTGTTAAAATCTTGGAATAATGCAATAATAAAAAATTAAATTTCATCTAATAGATGTCGGGATCTGTAAACAGTATTAATTACATTTCCGGGCCTGAATGTTTGAGAAATTTCCATTGCTACTGGATAACGCATATTTTCTGTTTATGCATTATTTTTATAGATACAATTTATTTAAGTAAATGCTCTGTTTTAAATTAACA